TCACTGAACATGGAACATCTAACTTAGAACAAAATTTTTTATAAATTCAATAAGTAATAAAGAGATTTTTAACGTATTTTTAATGTACATTTCGCTAAAAAAGTTTACTGACTTCTGGGCCACTCTGTATATTCCATTATGATAAACTTCATTACAGCATTTCATAAGCAACGTCAACACTTCATGAATTAGGCGAATCGCATATTCCGACCTCTAACACTGTTACAACTCTTTCCACCTTCTTCTTGGTCTTCCTATGTCTCGTCTACAGGACGGATAAAATTTTCTTTTATTGCTAGTGGGGTGGGACTAAGTCCCTTGTACTGCGGCCACTTCTGGCCTATTGTACCAGCCCCAGATGATAGGTGAGGGTGATTGTGGAGCAATTGGTGGAATGAAGATTGGCAGGGGAAACCGAAGTACTCGGAGAAAACCTGCCCCAGCGCCACTTTGTCCACCACAAATCCCACTTGACCAGACCCGGGATCGAACCGGGGCCGCCGCGGTGGGAAGCCAGCGTGTAACCTGTTGAGCTATGGAGCGGCCTCGGATAACATTTACAGGCTTGAAGAGGAATATGAGTGTGTTCCCTGTTTGTCGTTGCATTTTCTGTTTGTCTCCTTATTCTTTAACTTTTTTCATACAAAGGGAAGACGCCCAACTCTTTCTGTACGTCTTCGTTTCTTAACTGATCTGCTCTAGTGGAACCTCTGTCAGTTCCAGCGCTCGCTTCTGGCGCACGAATTGTCTTAAGCGTACTGTATACAAAATGACGAGGAACAAGAAATGATATGTCATGAAACACGCACACGATCTTATGGGACGTGATGCCGTATAGTTTGGTAGATGAGTACCAACGTTGCGGAGGAAACTTCAGCCTCCTTCTTCAGGATAGCATCTCAGAAATGTTCGCATCCATCTAGAAATATATACGAAATCACAATTCAAAAGCTCGTAACTTGCAAATGGTTTCTTCTTAAAATTCAGTTAGCTCTGGAGGGTTAACTCATATTTCTGTTTGCAATCACTGAATATCGAAATTAAAGATGTGTTACAGTATATTAGCGAGGATCGTATTTTGAATATGTGTGTACTTCATTGCAGCATCTTAGCGATATATACTTTTGTGTGGTACTGTACACGCCGCAAAGTCCATATTAAGTTAACAGCAAATAAAACGGTACGTGACGTCATTGGCACTTAAAAATAAAAGCGTGAAGTTGCAACAATCACGAAAATTAAGTGCAAACCTTCACTTGGAGCCTTTGTAACTGGTTTCCCATTCAGGCGTTCCTTTGTTTTTATTCGTGCAGTGAAGGAAGACACTGCGACTGACAGAGAGAAGCGAGTGGATGGCGCTGCGATGGGGTGACACTTTATTCAGAAAGTACCCGCCCCTAAGCTAGGCCATCTTACCGCCTATTCCTACAGATTCTTCGAAATTTCCATCAGTACGGTCACAGCACCCTACTTCGCCATTAAATTTTCCTGCCACATTCTTGCCAATTTAACCGTCACAGTCACCCTCCATTCAACTATGGACTGAATACAACCTTAACTAATATCCCGGTGAAAACATCGTAAAATAAACTAATATATAAATGTTATTTCACCTCAATCGTAGTACGTTAACATCTGGGTACTATTTACACAGATATGAACAGACCTATTTCAGCGTAACGCTACTGAATGAATCGCTTAGGTTTCCTTCCGACGACAGTTTTGGCACACTTGAGGGGACCGTCGATTTAAATTGAGCTGTTTCCACGCAGCTACGTGACTGATCAATGTCTCGCTAAGACACGTCACGAGTTTGGTCCAGTACAAATTCTGGTAGAGAAGCAGCCTTAGCTTCCTCCACAGGAACTCGAAATATCTGTAATACACAGAACACGATTGGCTGCTTCACACGCTAAGCGGGGGAAGCCTTCCGTCATAAGCTCTGCAATTCTTAACAGTCCTGATGTTTTTGTCAGTAAAACCCTTTGAAGACTGAATTTGTTCCAACTATTATATACTAATTCAGTCCGTACCTCACAGGAAACATGTGACGTCACCGTATGGAGCCAAACCGGTTACTGCTGTTTAGGGAAACAGTGGCTGTTTACTGTGAGAACAGTACGGAGCACACAAATGCATTCCGTGGGCGGTTCGTATAGCAGCCACTGGGGTTAACAGGATAATGACAATACAGACTATGAGATAAACGCCCGGGATTCGATTCCCGATGGAGGTAGAGATCCGTCATGACATCCAGAATTTTGGAAGTGTGGGGCACTCAAACTCTTATCAATTATGTACTGGGGGCTCTAGACCCGGGGGTGAATGTGACCTCTCACCTGAGCCTGCTACAAGTAAAGTTATGCTTGTTCTTATTCGGTTCAGCGTTGCGCCATAAAGATGTATGGAAGAGTGAACGTGGAACTCCACACATTCATAACCTCCGCTTTGGATAGAGGCGACTGGTGAGCCGTACCCCCAGAGAAAGGGTCTCTGGAACTCATTCTGTAGAACACTACTGAGAAGAGAAATATCTCTTGTTCCTGTCAGGACTCGAACTCCGGTTCGTCGGCTGTCTAGCCGTTGCACATCGCTATGCAATTTTCTGTCGAAGTTACAAATGGCTCAAGTCTCCAGACTTGAATATTTTAACAAATATATATATTTCTAGTTTTTTCGTCCCTGTTAGATACAATTTACATCTCATTCTCCATTACTTTTTAATCCATCTCTCAATACAATGGTACAAACTGCAACGCTACACATTGCGTAATTTTCTCCGTTCATATTTTTCGCAATTGTGCTTTCTTAAATAAAGGCACAGTTTTCAAAATTTTGTTGCAGATTGTTTGTTCTTCCGTTGGGGCGACAGTCTTTGCTGTGGGAGACTTTTTTTTATTGCTAGTGGGGTGGGACCAAGTCCCTTGTACTGCGGCCACTTCTGGCCTGTTGTACCAGCCCCAGATGATAGGTGAGGGTGATTGTGGAGCAATTGGTGGAATGAAGATTGGCAGGGGAAACTGAAGTACTCGGAGGAAACCTGCCCCAACGCCACTTTTTCCACCACAAATCCCACTTGAACAGACCTGGGATCGAACCCGGGCCGCCGCGGTGGGAAGCCAGCGACTAACCGCTTGAGCTATGGCGCGGCCGTGGGATGCTTTACTACCCTGTCAGTAGCTAAGCTGTGCAGGGTTAAATGGGGGATGACTGATGAATGGGGAAATGGAAATTACTGTAAATGAAGCGGCACTGGCCTAACGTAAATCTGAAACAGGATAACAAGGGTAGGAGCCGAGATTCGACGCGAGAACCTCTGAATACGTATGAAGAGAGCCTCACCGTCACACCAACCTGTTCTATTTGTGTTCATATAAAACCCGTTCACGCCTCTATGTAACTGGGCTACAATGCGTTGTTGCCGCCCAGTTCAAATCACATCACGGAGACTACCCCTTTTCGGCTGTCCCCTCCTGCATATTACACACATTCATAGCTACCCTACACACCTGGAGGCCGTCTCCTCCATCCGCAATCTGCGGACGCGCCATGCCGTGATCATAAAAGACTCACTCTCCAAGGGTAACTTTCTTACTTACTTACTTACTTACGGAGCTGAGCCCTTCTTGAGAAGCCAAATCTGCAGATACTCAAGAATTTTCCAGCATTTTATGGAATCCGAAGGTCCATTACCGTGTTCACAAGAGTCCTCCACTGGTCCCTATCCTGAGCCAGATCAATACAATCCCTACCATTACCAAGGGTGAACACAAGGTAAGTTAATGTAGTCGCAACACACCCTTAGCAAATGTAATACATAAATTAAATTCAATACATACCTGGCAATATACAGAGAGAGCCGTAAGCACTTCTTAATATTCCACCTCGCAAAACTGACTCCTTTATAACGTTTCGTAGTTCGCAGGGCCCGTTGTCACACTACAAACACCGCGGCACCAATACCGAACAAACGCTCACTGCGCCTTCCTCTGGGCAACTGGCTACAGAGGCAGACTCCACGGCCGTCGACCACAAGTCCCTTCCCTCCTCCTGCTCCAGCACTCCCCCCTGCTGTGACGTCACACGGGTTAAAACCAGCCGCCACTGCTGCCGTGGTTGCTAATGTTTGTTTGTCATTCACATTTTCTTGCTCTTTTTCACATTCGGGTCCTTTATCAAATTGCGAAATCCTTCGGACATTTCATAAGATTTCTTGGATGGTCGATAGGTACATTGTCTTAAATTCTTGTATCCTGCTTTGTTATACATTAGCGTCTCAGTAAACCAGTATTCTTTATCTTATTTTTTACAATCAGAACAGCCATTTTGGTATATAGCTAACTCCACGAGCTGTGTTTTTCGTGAGACGCAGTCTCGGGCTCGGACCACTTAGAAAACACTCCGTTGCCACGGGAATGTGTTTGCGGATCCGTTGCCTAGAACCGGGTTAGATAATACTGTTATTTATTCGCCTATTGCATAGCAACGGCTCTACACGCCACAAAATTCTTCTCAAGTCAGTGATTATCCCATGATTCGAGTCCATACAGCCGAAGTTACAGACAGGGAAAAGGCAAGGTAGAGTTTTTTTCTTTTTCCTTGGCACTACAGCCCCCGTGGGCCTAGGCCTACCTCCATGAACTCCGTTCACTTCGGTTTTTCTAGATCTTACACATACGGTGGGACTCCTTGGGCGAGTGATCAGCTCGTCGAAAGGCCTCTACCTGTACACAAATACAGAAAAACGCACACAAACATCCATGCCCTGAGTGGGATTCGAACCCACGATCCCGGCTTCCGAGCGAGCGAAGACAGTGCATGCCTAAGACCGCTCGGCTACCATGACAGGCCAAGGTAGAGTTACCCCTGTGCTTAATTAATTCGGCACCACGCCATGAAGACATATGGGGGAGTGGAGGCATAGCTCCACCCATGATAGAGACAGCATTGTGAAATAGAGAAATGTGCCCCTGTGATTAATTACATAAGACTCCATGAAGAATTATGGAGTAGGTCCACGTATACATAATACCGGTCAGTTTCATGCTTCGGCCGGTTTACTGAAGGGCAAAGTGTCACCAGTACCCATTTAATATGATGTTGAGTGGGTCCCAGAGAGGGCCTGGACACTGCGAAGAACAGTGAAATCCCTTGTCTTGCCGATAATCGAACCGTGTGAATTCCAGACCGCGGCCGAGTTGTTAAATAAAGCGCAAAATAATGTAAATTCACGAACCACGTGTTTTGCATACCTGCTTTAGAAAGTCAAAGGCATTACAGAACACTGGGCAAGCCAGCAACTCCCAGCTTCATTTGGATTCCTCCGACATTAGTGCAATGGACATTGTGAATTTCCACGGACAGCGGCGAGTGAGTTTCTGCTTGTTGTCAAAGAGCAAGCTGGGGGGAGGGGGCGTTTTATTGCCTGCCACACCTGGTCATCACCGTCTTGCAAATCTGCAAGCACTTGGCAAACGGGAGAGGTAAGACAAAGCTCTGGCTTGTGTATTGTTTCCCTCTTCTTTGCTTCACTCTGCAAGGCGTTTGTTCGCGATGAAACGAAATTATGTCTGCGGTAGGTTATGCTGACTGAACTGACTCAACAGTTTCAGAGACGAGAACTGTATGAACACTATAAATGTAGGAAGAACTGCGCATGCATGATGTTACACTGAGGTAGGCCGCGCCATAGCTCAACAGGTTACACGCTGGCTTCCCACCGGGTTCCACTGGCCCGGGTTCGATCTCGGGTCTGGTCAAGTGCGATTTGTGGTGGACAAACTGGCGCTGGGGCGGGTTTTCTCCGAGTACTTCGGTTTCCCCTGCCAATCTTCATTCCACCAATTGCTCCACAATCACCCTCACCTATCATCTGGGGCTGGTACAATAGGCCAGAAGTAGCCGCAGTACAAGGGACTTAGTCCCACCCCACTAGCAATAAAAAAAAATAAAGAATACACTGAGGTACTTCATAACGCACACAGCTCATTCAGCGTTGTTAAGGTAACTAGTTCAGTCACACACACACACACATATATATATATATATTGTCATATGTAGGGAGGTACGCGTGACGAAAGTAAGAGGTTCCAGATCGGATGATTGGGTTTATTGGCACTTCGATTACAGTTTCTGATAATTACAAGAAATACGGCGCTATCGCTGATGCTGTCACTCATGGTTGCACACGCAATAGGATTCTTCGTCTTCACTAGCCGTCTCCTAGCAACGGATCTCAACACAGAAACTAGCGCTTCAGATCACTATGAAGTCTTCTTGCCCTTTCTTATTCCCTGGAACCTCGGAACTCAACTAAAACCTCCGCCTATTACTCACTCCTCCAACTTCTGACAGCAAACAAATTGGGTCTAAGTCTTATGTTACGACCGTACCCGCCCAAGTAGTTTCCAATGCCTCTGGGAGATGGGGGAAATATCAGGTACCGACGGCCGACCTAGTTGGCTGAACGGGGCTGATAGCACGCACCAGTACCGGTAGGGTATGGCGACAGTAGAAATTAAAGGGGGACGCACAATGGACCAATAACTGGTCTAAGTGCATGGGGAAACCCACCCCCTCTAATAATAATAATAATATGTTACGACCGACGGTCAGTCGGCCACTCTGTCCTGCAGTGAAGCACCCATCTGGAATGAGATAGCCCAAATCTATTTTAAGTATTTTATTCTGTGTTCTTTTCCACGAAATTCGACAACGGGACCTCCGAGCTGGAGTTCTGACCACTAGACAGTTCTGTCCGAGTACTTTCAAACGACACGTAAGATGCCTGAACCACAAAAACAATACATTCGTTTTGCGCTTGCGTGATAGGGTCGCGAGTGATTCCTCTGACGGCCTCTAATTCTTGCACTGCTCGGCTCTGAGCTGAATCTCGCTATAAATTACTCAACTTCCTTCGCAGTGTCAGGCTCACGGAATGTAACAAGACCTCACTGTGAGAGTCAGGCTGTAAATTACACACTGTGAGATGCTGTGAAACTATGAGTGTACATGTAATGAAATTATTACAAAGGAAAACTCGTCTCCACTCTTAATTAACTACCTCACCATGATAATTTACTGAGAAGTTGTCATTAGCTTCGCAAGCGAAGAAGTTACACGACGGCCCGAAGGTTCATTACCGTGTCAGCAAAGGATTACTTCTGGTCCATATCTTAGGTTACATGAATCCAGTCCAAAAACTTACGACTCATTTTCAGATCCACTTTAATATTATCCTCCCATCAAAACTTAAGTCTGTTAAGTGGTTTCTTCCTTTCAGATTTTGCGTTCAGATTATTTTTTTAAGTTTGATTTGTTTCATTCTGGTCCGTCACACTAACAATTACAAATACAAATCACTCCGTCCAATGTGACCTGTAAGTTTTTTACTACATGAAAACTTAACACCCTTACATGTTTCGGTCTCTGTGGACCATCTTCAGAGGGCAAACATCACTACAAATAGGAAACCACCATCACATAAGTTGTTTAGACGTAAAGTTCGTACATTTATATGCTACAATACATAGTACACAAAATAGACATTTCAGATTTCACAAACACAGCAGTTTCCTGGGAATGTAAAGTTTTTTTATAAAATTGTATAAAATTTCTTAAAGCTAATTAAAATTTAAATTTAAAATTTAAAAAATTAACACACTTCTGAACAGTGAAAACAACACAGCAGCCACGAGCAAAGCCTGGACGATATAAAGAACCTCCACATCAAGATAGCCAGGTGGCNGTGTACGAACTTTACGTCTAAACAACTTATGTGATGGTGGTTTCCTATTTGTAGTGATGTTTGCCCTCTGAAGATGGTCCACAGAGACCGAAACATGTAAGGGTGTTAAGTTTTCATGTAGTAAAAAACTTACAGGTCACATTGGACGGAGTGATTTATATTTGTAATTATTTTTTTACTTTACCCCTTCGTGCTATATAGCGAAATTATTAATTTTATTAATTATATAATTGTAACATCATTAGGGAGTTCCAGGGAAGCCAGGTGGACTGAAATTAAACGGAACACATCAGCTGTTGGTCTACGCCGATGATGTGAATCTACTGGGTGACAATGTAGATACCATAAAGAAAACACACAAAATTTAATTGACACTAGTAAGGAAGTTGGTCTAGAAGTAAACACAGAGAAGACTAAATGTATGTTACTGTCTCATCACCAAAATGCAGGGCAAAATCATGACATAAAGATAGGTAACAGATGTTCTGAAAATGTGGCACAGTTCAGATATTTGGGTACAGCGATAACAGATCGAAACCTGATTCAGGAGGAAATTAAATGGAGACTGAACTCAGGTAATGCTTGCTACCATTCAGTCCAGAACCTTTTGTCTCCTCGTCTGCTGTCCAAGAACATAAAAATTAGAATACACAAAACTATAATTTTGCCTGTGGTTCTGTATGGGTGTGAAACTCGGTCTCGGACATTATGGGAGGAACATAGACTGACAGTATTTGAGAACAGGGTGTTGAGGAGAATATTTGGGCAAAAGAGAGATGAAGTGACAGGAGGTTGGAGAAAACTGCATAATGAGGAGCTTCATAACTTGTACTCATCTCCAAGTATAATTAGAATGATCAAGTCAAGGAGGATGAGGTGGGCAGGGCATGTAGCACGAATGGGGGAGACGAGGAATGCGTATAGGATATTGGTGGGAAAGCCAGAAGTAAAGAGACCACAAGGAAGACCAAGGCATAGGTGGGTGGACAATATTAAAATNTCTTAGAGAGATAGGATGGGATGGTATGGATTGGATTGATCTGGCTCAGGATAGGGACCAGTGGAGGACTCTTGTAAAGACGGTAATAAACCTTCGGGTTCCATAAAATTCAGAGAAGTTCTTGAATAGCTGCACAACTGGCGGCTTCTCAAGACGGGCTCAGCTCCATGAGTGAGTGAGTGAGTGAATTCATTGGCCAGTGTCTCAAAAAGAGTTTCCGCTGTCGTTTGCAATACGCGTAACATT